ATCCACTCACTCACCCACCCGTCCACCCATCCACTCACCTACCCACCCATCTACCCACCCACCCATACACCACCCATACACCCACCCATGACTCTGTCTACTCATCTTCAGTAGATAAGCATTTACACTTCCTATGACCAAACACTACTGCATGCGGTGGGAATTCACAGCTGAATTAGGAAAAGCTCCTGACTGTCAGGGAAGTCAGGTTTTGTAAAGGAGGGAGGCATGTGGCCCGGAATGGGGGGATCTGACAGCTTCCTCAGGAAAGGCTTCTGAGAAGAGTTTTGAAGGCTGAGTCCTGGTTCCTCAAAGAGACTGGGAACATTTCTAGGGAAAGGGAAGGGAGTGCAGTGTGTGGGTCCTGCTGGGAGCTGGAGCGGAGTGTTGCTGTTTGCTGTTTCTAGGGTGTGGTGGGCAGTGACAGGAGGTGGCCCAGACAGGGTGCCCAGGCCAGGTCACACGCGGCGAGCAGAGCAGTGAAAGACCTGCTCCTGGGCAGGTGGGGGGTGGGCTGGAGGTGCCAGTCTGGGTGCTCAGGTGCTTGGGGCTGGGTCTTCCATCGGCTCTGATTCCCAAAGGCACTGTCTCCCTGGTACCACAAGACATCACTGAGTCTGAGTTCTGAGCATGGTCCAGCCGATCAGGGTGCATCTGTCACCCTGACCCCCCTGCTGTCCTGACCCCTGAAGAGGAAGGGTGTCTCTGCGTGCTCATGGGGGGAGGCCAGGCCAGTTCCCACTACCCCATCTTTCATCGTCACTGTGTTGCAGCAGCAAGAACCACTTCTCCTCCCTGGGAGAGTTCAGTGAGATTTTCAGTGACCTGGATTCCAATGAACTCATTCAGAAGCCCAGGGCTTTGCACACCACCCAAGTTAGAACAGTCTGTGAACCTTGCAAGTGGCAGTGTAACTGCTGCAAGGAATGTAGCTAGAGCAAGCAAGCAGCCTGCTCGCTACTTGCCAGCGAGCCAGAGCTAAGGGTACTGTTGCAGGCAGACTTCTGCTCATTATACTCCTCTTGTCTCCAAGAAAAGTGTTTTTGTTCAGCGCGCACTGGTTCCAGTGTGTGCAGGGGAGGGGAGAGTTGAGGCCGTAGGTCCAATCGTGTCGTCCACTGAAATTGTTCACTCATATGCTCTATGCATTCTGTTGCTTAGGAGTTTCAGAATCAAGGTTGACTTTCACTTTTAAAGAGTTATTTTATTTATTTTTATTTTTATTTTTTTTGGTACTGGAGATCGAACTCCTGACCTTGCGCTTATGAGGCAGACACTGCCACAAAACTACATCCTAGCCCTTAGGAATGACTGACTTTCTATTTTTAAAGTTACTGATAGACTGATGAGTTTTTTCTCTTTTCTGGAACTCCATGAATAACTAACAAATCTGAGAGCAGGAGGATGGGCAGTACCAACTCAGGCTTGGAAACCAGCTCACCTTGATGGGAATTCTGGCCTCATCTACAGGGCTGGCTTTGAGGGACTGCGTCTGCTTCCTCCTCGCTCAAGAGGGCATGATTATAGCATCTCCCTGGTACCGCTGCAGGGGCAACTCATACCAGACAGGGAAATGCTCAGCCCAGTGCCCAGGACTCTTCAGCATTCAAGGCACACTAGTTGTTTTTTATTTCATTGAGTTTATTGGTACTTTTTAGGTACTACAGTTACATTCATCACTGGGATCTTGTACTTTTACATGTTAGATCTTGGTTCTCGTTTTTCCCCACACCCCACCCTCTCTTCACCCCCTCCACCTCTCCCTATTTACAAACACTTTGTTTCCATTTTTTCCTTTTCTTATATTTTTTCTTGTTCCTTATTTCCTTTCCCCTGCCCTTCCTACTTCCCTTACACCTTTAGCTCTTTTCTTCATATTTCACATTATCATTTATACAATTTATATACAGTTATACAATTTACACTTTTAGTTTTTCACACCAGAGAAACTATTTGGTATTTACATGTGTGTTTTATTTATTTCACTTAAGAGTATGCTCTCAATATGCATCCATTTTCCTATGAATGACTCGTTTCTTATTCTTTATTGCTGAGTACTACATTTTATAGAAAAAACGCATCTTTATCCAGTCTCCCAACTAATGGGCAATTGGGCTGTTTCCAAATTTTAGCTATTACAAACACCAAGGCACACTAGTTTTAATGGGAGAAATAAACCCCTGGCCCCAGGATGTCCCACAGGGATAATCAGACTGGAGGCTGGGGGTCTTGTGTTCTTGGGATTCACCTTGTTTCAGTCCCAGTGCTGGGATCAAACACCTGACATACAAACCTTCAGGGAGGAGAGGTTTCAGAGCAGTCAGTCCGTGGTTGGCTGGCTCTGAGGCAGGCACCTCTGGAAGGGTGTGGTTGAGCAAAGCTAGTTGCTCAACCCATGGCATCTGGGAAGCAGAGAGTGGGGAGGGTCAGAGAGGAAGGGGATGGGGCCAGAGCACTCAAGGTCTCACCACTCCCGAGATGCAACTTCCCCAGCCCAGCCCCACCTCTACAGGCCCATTTAGCTGTTACCTGGACGGTGTGACTGCAGAGGAGGAGGTTGGTGGGGATCGAGCCTCTTCACCCCGTGAGCTCAATAGTCAGCACTAGCCAGTGCCCCATCTTCAATACCTTCCTGAATTCACCTTCAGCTTGATGTCTACCTTTTTTTGCAAAAGTCACGACTGTGCATCTAGCGTGTGGATCATGTGAGGACATGCATGTGGACAGGGCTGGGTGTCTGGTGGGCAGGTGTACAGTCCCAATCTGAGATGGGCCGGTTGCTGGGTCTCCAGGTGAAGGCTCATGCTGGAACATGTGTGTCGTGTTTGTGGTTGCTGAGATGTGCTCCTTGGAGGTTTCCTCAAGCCTGGGGAGCAGTTTCGGATTTACATTTTGGGTGTGTCTTTTCAAAGATCATTGCTGGAGAATTTGAGTAATTTTCCCATTTTATGCCTTGGTTACTCTAGAGGAACTTCAGCCTGTGACTGTCTGTCTGTCTTTCTTTCTTTCTTTCTTTCTTTCTTTCTTTCTTTCTTTCTTTCTCTTCCCTCCCTCCCTCCCTCCTTCCCTTCCTTCCTTCCTTTCTTCCTGTCTGTCTGTCTGTCTTTCTTTTTTGATACAGGGTCTCACTGTGTAGTTGAGACTGACCTGGAACTCACTATGTAGCCCAGGCTGGACTCTAACTCACACTGATCCTCCTGCTTCAGCCTACCGAGTGCTGGGATTACAGGAGTGTGCCACCACACCCGGATCACCTATGACTTTAACTAACTCTTAGAAATACAATTTAAAGCTCCCATAGTCTTTTATGTTATGACTATACTGTGATTTATCCCTTCCCTGATGCTAAATGCTGAGCTAGTCTTAATTATTTAATCAGTATAAAACCAATACAGTGACACTGTCATACATTAATTTTTGTTCAGTTATCTGGTGAGTTCCTTGAGATAGATTTTTAGAAGTGGAATTATTGAGTTCAGTGTTTTGAATTTTGTAAATATATTTTCAATTTTTCTCAAGAAACGTAATCTTTTATGCCGGGGAGCGTGTGACATCTCACTGTTCTCTGGGCAGCACAGCACAGGAGTCCTGAAATCCCCAGTTTCACTTTTGTGCAGATTCAGGGATCACAGTTGTCTTCAGTCCAAGCGTATTATGTAGGAAATTCTAGAGGGAAACCATCACTCAGCCTTCTCCATTGCATGGGTCCCTGGGCGATGTTAACTCTCACGCCGTCTACTGTGTTTTGCCTGGACATAGCCATTGGTGTGCCCAGTGTAACACGCTTCTGACACGCGGTGCTCGTTAGTCACTTCATAGCCGTCTTGGTTAGTCTGCCTAATTTAATTTAAACCCATTACAGGTGTGTGTATGTGGGAACACTGTGAGCGCAGGGTGTGGCTCCGGTTTCTGGTCTCCACTGGGGCCTGAGAATGTATTCCTGCAGACCTGGGGAGACAGCTGTACTAGCTTTGTTCCTCATTCCTGTTTGACGCCCAAAGGGTATTTTGCCTTTGTTTGCTTTTCCTTTAGCGGTGAAGATTTTCTGAGTCACTTTAGACATGTTGGAATATCACGAGCACTCACAGTAAACTCATTTTGCTGTTGCAGAGTCTGTTTACCACCTTTCTCTGAAGAACATGGTCTGGGACCTGCAGAAAGTACGGAGCGACCTCCGATCCCAGTTTGGTTTTGATGACCTTAAAACAGAACAAATCCTGAATTATTCAGTGGAGCTGCAGGAGGTATGCATGCTCGATTCCTTCCCGCACTCTTGGGTCTCTCCTTCAGCCCTCAGCTTCCACATGCACAGAAACAACCAGCTGCAGATCAAAAGCACAAGAAAAAGTAAACTGTACTGAACACGAACAGACCTTTTCCTTGTCATTAGCCCCAAAATTTATACCGTGTTTTCTCTATTCATGAACTTAATTTGTTCTATGATTGTGGAAAGAAATGAGTTTGGGAACCTACGTACCACTATGTAACAACTATTTCTATGGCATTTAGATGTAGGAAGATGTCTGAGGCCACAGAAAATACTACAGCATTTCATGCAAGAGACTTGAGCATTTGCAGATATTGAGACCGTTTCCTTGTTCGTGATGTCTTCTCCATCAGGACAGCTAGCCATGGCAGTCCGTCCTTTGGAGATCTCACCCTCTGACACCATTCTGTGTCCTGTCCTCATCAGTGAGGGCCCAGCTGAGGCACGGGGTCCACCTGATAGTCCAGGATGACCCCATGTTCAGTCTGATGACCGGCACCTTCGTTCCCTCTGTACCATTAGACCTCACTGGCTGTGCAGTGTGATAGCCACAGGAGCTGGGGGTTAGGGTGTCAGAGTCTTGGGGAGAGCATCACCTGGCTCCCCACCCCTCATGCGTCCCTTTGCTCCCTGGCTCCTGCCTCAGTTCCAGGAACTCCCCAAGTCCTACCTGGCACCTGCCTAGGTCTCCCCAGGGACCTCAGCAGGGCTCCCCTGGGCTGTGCCAGGATCCTCCTCACTCCTGCTCTGTGCCCATCCTCAGAAAATGGTTCATCCAACCCCATGTCTTCCACGAAGTCCCCATGGTCCCTTTAGCCTGTGCCCCATCGTGTTTTAACCCAGTGATGGGGAACGTGATGCTTGCACTCCTGATCTCCAGACATGACTGTGGGCGGGGCAGGCTTCCTTCCTAATGAAGAGACCCTGCAGCTGTGACTGTGACAAGGTTGCATTTTTCACCTGAATCTTGAAGGACACTGCAGGACCGATGAGCAAGCAGAAGTCTGATGCTTTCCTGTTGTTCTGTTGTCTTGGTCCCCTTGAGGAACATGTCACTAGTTACCACAGCCTGGGTGGCTTGTGCAGGAGGGATTTATTCCTCACAGTTCTGGAGGCTGAAGCCCAAGGCTGGTCTGCAAAGACTGGTGTGCGGTGACGGGTGACGTTCTGGTTCCCAGAAAGGAATCCTGTGTGTCTTCACACCTGTAGCAGTCAGCGAGTCCCTGGCCTTCTTCCATGCCGGCTGCATCCTATGGTGTGAGCTCAACTCGGGAGCCATTTTCCAGCCCTGCAGACTGTCAGCTTGGGGCTTAGGATTGCAGCATCTCCGAACTCCAGGGGCTCTCACGTGTTCACACTGCAGCAGCCACCCATAGTGCTTCTGAAAGAAATCGTGATAGGACTCCATGTTGGGGTGCAGCTAACCCCTATTTATACATAGGTAAACACGCCTAATTATACAGCAACTTTAGAGAGCTTGTGAAAAATAAAACAGATGCGATGCAAAATGTTAAACTGTTTCTGAGCCAGGACCCCAGTGTGAATCTTTCTGATTTTATCCATTTTGATAATTAGAAAAGAAAATGTTCCCAGCAAAGCAAGTTTGTGAGTCCAAGGATCCACACAGCGGACCTGGCCCATGTGTTTGCCTCATCCCTGTCCCACTGCTTCTGGAAAATCCGGAAAAAAGGATAAATTTTCCTCCTTAGCTACGCAGATTAGTTTTAGAAGCGAAACTTTCTGTGGAAAAAGACTTTCCTTCTGAAAAAACTTTGTTTTTTCCACTGTGGTGGCCAGTGTCCCTCAGAGAGCGACTTGGAGAGGATGGTGTGCTCTGTCCTGTCCCACACGTCCAAGGACGCCACTGAGCAAGAGGGCCACCGTGGAACCTGCCCACCCGAGCGAGCAGACGCCAAACACTACCTGATGCGCGCCATCAGCCGGCTGCGGCTCTGCGGACAGGTGCTGCCCCCGCCCCAGGCCAGCCGTGCGCAGTCTGCCCCCGGCCCCAGTGCCCCTCTTGCCCACTGATTGTGTCCTTCCCAGGGGAGAGGGACCACACACCCCGACGTTGTGCACACTTCTTCCATGGGGATCCCCAGCCTCGGCGTCACTCACCCGGGGTCCTTTGTAGATTGACACAGCAGAAAGTTAGGGGAAAATGGAGACGGTGACTCTAGGGTCTGTTTTCAAAGAGGCTGCTGTGGGCCCCGTGCTGCCTGCCTGCCCTGGCCAGCTCACAGTGCTGTTGTGGGGAGGTTATGAAGCTTGAAGCACAGCCCCTGCAGAGTCACCCCCATTCTCTTTATCAAGTGATACGTCCCCACTTCCTGTTTTCTCGCAAAGAACACCCCTCTGCCCTAATATGGGTCACTGATAAAGGTCAGAATCTCAAATCGTGGGTACAGTATCCTTAAAAAAAAATGCAGGTGTGATTGTTTGCTTGAGCTGGTGCGAAAGCAACCAAGGTTTTTTTTTTGAGATGATCAGAATCATTGCAGACAGGGCCACTGTGCTCTATGCCTTACCTGGGCCACACCCACATGAGGCTCATCAGCCCTGAGCACACTTCCCTGCGTGACATGAGTGTCCATGCGGCCTGACACTGGCATGGAAGAGCGACTTTGAGTGTGAGGAGGAGGAATCTGACGCTGCCTGTCTCGCACATTGCCACTTCTAAACCCACGTGACTGCACATGCCAGAGCATGGGATGGCACTTAAGTCACAGCAAATGCGTTAGTTTTCAGATTACATTTCTTCGTTTTAAAAATTTATGCTATTGCTTTTTTTCTGTCTTCCTCCTCTTTGAAGGAAAGAAAGAGGGAGGGGGCTGATTACAAAGCTTTGTCTACCCATTGTTGCAATTTGTAATCTTCAATTTCCTAGGAGAAATTTAATGCTAATGCAGTTTTTAACAGACATTTCAGTTTGCCAACAGAATTTAAAAACTACCTGAATGGTTGCCATATAGAATGGTCAGTCAGATAATTTATTTCTTAACTACATGCACTATTTTAAAGTTACAAGAATGGTCATCTTTTTGTTTCCAAATTTGCAGGTGTTTGGGCAGTGGCAGCAGGACGGCCTGCTTCAGAAGGTGCTCGCGGGTACTGCCCACAGCATCCAGGCCCTCAGGGACAGGTTTGAAGAGGGGGGCGTGCCGTGGAAGGTGGCAGAAGCCTTGCTTGCTGGACTGGTGCTCCTGAGTGACGCTTTGGCAGCAGGTGGCCCCAAAGACAGCCACACCTCTCCGCAGATGTAAGGCCCTTTTCCCTCCTCTGTTCACCAGCCTAGACAGCGCTGCATCTCCAGGAATGCACAGCAGCACTGTCAGAAACAAATTCTTTAAACCACTGCTAGACAGCGAGTTCCTGGTTAGTATAGGAAGCCACTGTGGGTCAGCGCCAGGAGTGACCTCAGCGGTGAGCTGGACACTGACTGGTCCAGGGGTCTGAGGCAGTGGGATGGAGGAGGGTGTTTGAGAGTGTCCTTTGCCTGGATTTTCAGTTTTATACTTTTGGCATGTTTTAAAATGGACACATACATTTTAGAAGTACCGATGAGTAAGGAGCTCTGCTTGTCTTGGTATTTAAACAGTGTATGCAGTCAAAGTATACACACAGGTCCAGAAATATTTCAGAGGTGGGAAAATGCAGGACTTGTGGTTTCTTCATTTTTAAGATAACCAGAAATAGTTCATCAAAATGGCCAATTCTGTTATAGAACGGGGTCTTTGTCCTCAAAAGGTTTGACAGTTTGCAGTGATGTGAATTTTATACTCCTAAAGTTAAGGCTCTCCTTGTAACTCAGTGGACCCCCAGAGTTCCTAGAGCACCTACGAATTGTGATAAACTGTGAATTTCAGATGTGGTCAGAAAAATGGCTAACAATGAATATTTTTTATTATTATTCAATATTTTCAACATAATTGAAACCCTATGTTATGTCTCCCACAGTTAAGTAATTTAATAAAATACCACTTTAATAAAGCCTTAGAAAGGAAAGGGTGTTTTGGTGGCTTCTTAGAGATTGTAGGGCTTTAATAACAAACCGAGATAATGGAGAGAGAGAGCTTCAGGCCTCCCCCCGACCCCATCGTGATGTAGGATGCTGGTGCTTCTGGGAGATGCGTTAAGGGCAGCAGCCAATCAGCAGCGAGGAGAACGGAATCACGCTCTCGGATTGGCTACTTGCAAACCTCCCGCTCCCCTCCCCCCAAAAAGAATTGCAAACGATATTTGCGGTTTCTGCAAAATTGTGCGGTTTTCTGCAATTAGTTAGATTCTAAGGAAGAATTCGCAAATGACTGAGGCCATGAACTCTGAACTGCAACTTTGCGAGGGTTTACTGTACAGCGAAAATGTTTCTCAATATTACCTCAAAAGATTGGATTTCAAACAGCAGAGCCCACAGGCTCTGGCTGTCTGTGTAACAAGGAAATGGAATAGAGACTGAAACGTATGTCACTGTGCGTAATGATGACACGGGAAGCAGCAACATCTCCCACCCTGTGACTGACCCCTTTGGAACCCAGCTAGGGAAGAGGATCTTGCTCTCTGGGTCCTCCTTCCTGACTCTCACCTTAGAGGGGCCCTGGGGCATGGAAGAGGAGAAGCAGTGGCAGTGAAGGTCCCATCAGGGCCATAAAGCTCCCAGAAAGTGTATGTCAAGGGCAGCAGAGTCACCTTGGAACACTGAGCTTGCCGGAACAGAGACGAAGCCTGGTGCTGTCAGTTGACTCGATGCTGCCTTGGGTACTGAAGCTTTCCCGCTGGCTGCTATGGGAAACGTACTGAGTCTTATGCAGTGCACATTGTTGGAGACCCCACCTTCAGTTATCTTAGTCACCCCACAAACCTTACCTGTCCTTGCTGTTCAGCCCAGGGACTGCCGCTCTCCAGCACCAACACGCAGTAGAACAGAACGCCAAGAAGCTCTCTGTGTCTCTTGGCTCAAGTAGGGACAGAGAAGCTAAAGATGACACTGCATTCTGGATCCAAGCACAGCTGAATCCTCCCTGCCTCCAGGCATGGTCTGTACCCCAGAGGCGGAAAGGCGAGGGCTGGCAATGCCTTCGCTCCTCCACCTGCTGTATGCATTAGGCAGGCAGTCGGCCCTGGAAACGGACTCTCCGTTTCTATTTGGATGCCCTTGTTATAGGGAGTGTAAACCTGCTGCCCATTGGCTGATTTGGTGCCATGCAAGATCTTCTGTCTCCTTCCTGGGCCTCAGTGGTGGCATCTCTAAGCTTTTTCTAGTTATGGATCGCTGGACTGCTGTAGACTTGGTGCAAGTCTGTCCCCAGGTTTCCTGTGGCTTCCTTTCAGAGGAGGAATAATCTGCTGGCACTGTTGGGCTGCCACGAGGATTGCAGAGAGACTCGGTGTGAGGTGTCCTGCGTGGGGGGAAGCCCTTCAACGCCATCCCCTTCTCCACGCTGCACTCACATCTGCTGATCTTGCTCTCCACCCTCTCCTCCACCTCTGTTGTAGTTTGGGTATAAACGGTCCCTGGAAGCTTCATGTGTTTTGAGGTGGGGCTCTTGGAAGGAGACTGGATCTTGGGGTGCTGTGCTCATCAGTTAATCACTGATGACTCCATAGCTGAATGTGCTGTTTGGAGTCTGGGCCTGGTCTGTAGGAGGCAGATCACTGGGGGTGTGGCCAGGAAGGGTGCATCTCCCTCCCTGGACCCTCCTTCTTTCTTTGCTCCCTGGCTGCCACGCATGGAGCAGCTTTCCTCCACCAGGCCCTTTCACCCTATTGTTCATTTTTTTTTCCCACCATATTGCTCTTGCTTTGGAGCCATTTGACCAGAGACAAACCATGAGCTAGGATAAACCTGTCTCTCTTCCCTTGAGTGTTCAGTGTTGTGTCCCAGCAACAAAGAAAGTGAGAGACAGTCTTTGACACCTTCTTCTCATAGATGCCCTGATTTTCTGACAGGGTTGTCAAGTGCGCCCTCACACACACCTCAAGACCCTGAAATCCCTTTCATTAACTATTTTTGGAGCCAGATTTTTCTTCTACTTTGATCAGAGCCTTAAGTCCCGTCCCAGTGTCAGTGTGTGTGGTGAAACCCCTGGGCTTCTCTCTGCCCCATACACGTCCTTGCCTCCCATCCTTGCTAGGGCCACCCTCTTCCTGTTCTGTCTCCTGAGCTTTCTCACTCACCTTAGTATTTTCTGGTTTTGTTGGACTCACTGATGTCTCTTTACCACTTTACAAACTCTACTGACAAGAGTCTGAGGCTCTGTCTTGGGGCCAGCAGTGTGCTGTGTGAATCTGTCCCCTTCGCCCAGTCTCCTGCAAATGTTTATAAGATGCACTTTCACCTTCGGCAGGAGACCGTGTCTTTCATCCTCAGCTCCAGTCCAGGAAATCACACTATGTTTCCTGCCCTGTCTCTATAACCAATTTTTCACATCATTTTCTCTTCTTATGTCATATAAGTGGGAATGTCACCAGGCCTTCGGTGTCCTTCTCAGGGCTTGGTGTCATTCCTGACCTCCTTACCCTCCTAGTCCCCTCTGGTCCTGCCCCTGTCCCCTCAGTTGGCAGAGGCAAAGAGCGCCTTGAGCTCTGGGGCAGTGTGGATGCTGGTGGGCTCTGGGCTCACAGAGGCGTCTGGGGGTGCCGCAGAAGGCCCCTAACCCTCCACACCTGTGTCGTTGTGAAGGACTTGGTTACAGACTTGACCATACAGTGCCTGTCCCTGCTTGTCAGCTTAAGGAAGATCAGGAACCCAGGTCCAGGGTCTCTGCCACACAGTGTATGTTTCCATGGGAAGAATAAAATAAAGTACAGTTGTCTTTCCTGCTTTGTAGCTTTTTGCATGATCCATTCCATTTCCTCCTTGGTATAATCTAAGCCCATTTCCTCCTGTGCAGGCCCAGGTCAAGCACCCTACTCTGGTGTCAGGCCAGGAAGAGAGGATGTATCTGTGGTGATGGAGGTGGGGACGGGTGGCCCCTACTGCCAGTTTCTTGTAGGACAGGTGTCATGGGCCCTTCTTGAGGCAGACAAATCCACCAGCTACCAGCTCCAGGGCTGCAGCAGCCACCTGACCCTCTTGCACTTAACCTAGGACTGCTGAGATGGTCTGCAGAGACCAGATCATCAAGGCGGCCAGGGGCTTGAGCCTGGGGTGTGGCTCCTGCCAGGGGAGCATTTTGCTTGTACTCCAAGTAGCCACCTCTTCTCTCCTTTTAGCTTGCTGTCCTTTTCATGGGGGACCCTGTGCTGGCCTGGAGACCCAGGAGGCCTGCAATCACTGCTCTGGGACAGTGCTGGCACCCACAGTGTGGCCACAGGGGCTGCTCCCTCTCCCACACATGCTTCCATTTCAGTTTTCTCTTGTTCTCAAACTCATTCCTTTCTAGCTTCTCCGAGTCACTTCCTCTATCCATGTGAGTGATACGTGACCCTGCCCCACACACCAGAGCAAGAGATGCAGTGTCCCTTCTATGCCTGTCTCCTCTGCCAGCCCCAGTGGGGCACACACAGGGAGGCAGAGGTAGCTGTCATGGGACCCCACTCAAAATCTTCCCCTGGGAACTTTTCTGCCCAGCTTTCAAGGTGAACATCTGAAAAGTACAGTCATCTTCTTCTGTGTCTTCAATGAGACTGTTCTGTGACAGGCCAAGCACTGCAGGGAGTAGTGGTGTCAGGCAGCTGGCTGGCTGCACGTGACCTTGGAAACTCTTACAGGTGTTTCTAGTTTTCACTAGTTAGGACCACTTTGATGGCTCCTGGAATCCACTCTACACCATGCCAATATATAGGCTCCAAGGCACATGGTTTAAAAATTTCACCTGCAACTTTATCCTAAACTTCACGGCTTTTACACATTGCTTGGGGTGCCCTTTCCCATTCTGGGTTAAACAGGAATGTTCAGTCCATCTTCAGTACCTAAAAGATTGCCAAATTGGCTGACTCAAACTGAACTTTGCCACGAATCTGGTCAGAGGATACATTGGGATTTCTGGTCTACGAGCACGTTTCCCGAAGCAGTGGGACGTTTTCCTTTGTGTGGAAGTCTCATTTACCTGGCTAATTGAGCAATTGGACTCTCTTCACTTCATTTCATTGCTTTCTTTTGCCCTCAGGTTCCAGCATCTGCAGACATTGCAGAGTGTGCTGTACCAGCTGCCCCAGTGGCCAGTGCTGGAGAGACTGCGGCAGCTGGACAGGGCCCTCAGGAATGTGATATCCCAGGATTTGCATTTTGTTCAAGGTAAACCAGCTCCAGCTGTCTTTGTCCCCAATCCACTAAGAGCAATCATGACCTTCATTGGGCAAGGGTCTTGCGGACTTTGCGCAGAGGCTGTAAGCCCTGGAGCTAGCTTATGCTGGCTCTGTACACACTTACGCTTGCCACACGGCCTTCGGGGCACTTCACACACGACACAGCAGCATGAAGAAAGCTGTCTCAGTAGAGGGCATATCTTGCTGCTCACCGAAGCAAGTCTGGAGTTTGGCTGCTCCGTTCACACCAGCACGCGCAGTTCTCCTGCTGGAGAGGGGCCTGAGTGCTGTGAATATGTGAATCCTTGTGCTCTGTTTCCCTGCCCTCTGCTCCTTGGTGTCAGAGACAGCCTGTCCCTCGGAGTGTGCACGGTGCACGTCCTGAACTTTTTTCCACTGACTCTGGCAGGTCTTGTTCCTTCTACCCTCTTTTGATGAAAGTCAAGTTTGCACTTAAAAAAATTTTTTTTAATGATATATCTTGTTTCTTCTCTTTTTTCATTCATTAATTTTATTGGTACGTTTTAGTTATAAATATGCTGACATTCATTATTGGCAGTTTGCATCTTTACATAATCTGTTTTGGTTCTTATTTTTTCCCCCATTCCCCTGCCCTCCCTTCACCCCCTCCCCCTCCCCTATTTACATTTTTTTCATTTTTCTCATATTTATCGCTTTCCCTTCTTTCCTTTCCCCTACCCCTCCCACTTCCCCTTCCCCTCCCCCTCTGGAACTTTTCTTCCTATTTCACATCATCTATTATGCACTTTTACCCAGGTAGGCTAGAGCCTTTTTGTCTTATGGAGGTGAGAAAAGAAGTGAGCAGAGATGTTGCTGTAGAGGCAAAACTCTCCTATAATGAAGAACCCATACTCTTGCATCTTCAGAAAGATTAAAAAGGCATTGTAGTGACTCCACTTTCCTTTCTAAGGACAGTAATGAGATGTAGGATAACAGGTCATGTTTACTGAAATGCATACTTTTAGAATTCAGTCTATTGATTCATGGCCATGCATAAAATTCAGATTTGGACAAGAAGCCTAACTGGAGTGAATATTACATTCTCAATCTTGCAGAAATCTTTACTCATCTGGAGACTTTGGCAAGCACTTCTTTACTGGGTGGACCTAACAGTTGGAAACTAGAAAAGGATGTGTTTTTTGGTGGGTTAAAGCAGGTAAGTTACATATATTACAGTTTCCATAAAACATTGAAGAAGATTATGCAAAATTGGTCTTTGCCATTGTGGGTTACACCAGCAAAATAAAGAGCAATAGGCAAGTTTTCACAGACTTCAATGTTGCATTTTAACATTTTTTATTGTTGTAGTTCGTGAGTCCATGGAGTGTGTGGCTGAGCCTCTCTGAATGCTGTCTCTTTCCATGCTTGTTCATTTTGTAGATGCTGATGAGGAATGCTACCACTGCCTATCTTCATGGATGCTTTTCTGAGGAGGCTTCCACATTCCCTGGGAATTCCAGCATCTGGGGGGTCCCCTGGGGACTATTGTGCCACCATACCTCCTTGAATAAGACTAGAGTTTTTAACAGGCTACTTGATAGAGTGGAGAATGCTGTAAGTATCCCACCTTCTGACCTTGTCCCAGAGCACTCAGTGAGCTGGTGTTAAGTGTTAAACTCTCACCGGAGATGCTAAAATTGAACCTGTGTTTTTGACAAGGAAGACTTGAAATCAGCCCACACACTTACAAGAAGCTGGTCAATTGAACTGCAGCTGCCCCTCTATTCTCCTGCTTGAAAGAGTGCCCCCCCACCCAGCCAAAGCCTGCTGGGCTTTCCCCCCAACCTTTCAACCATGCGCCTCTGCCCCTGTGGTTTCTGATCTCTTGCGCTGCTCCATGTGGGAAGAGAAAGGGAGGCCTAGCTTTGATGCTCGGTCAGCTGGTTGCAGGAATGGTCATTGCCCGCTTTCATGGTGCCAGGCTTTGAAAATCGTGCTCCCCCTGGCTGGGAATGGACTTCCTGTGCCGAGAGCTCACATGGAACTATGGAAAATTTAGCACTTTGTTTGGAAAGATTACTGTTTCAAGTGTAGCTCCTATTTTTCTTACTGAGAACTAAAAGTTATAATGTTGTTGTGTTTGTCAGTAATTTTTTTCTGTAAGAATTACCTGTTTCTTGTTTTAAACATCTTCCTTATATGCCATGAAATAAAACCAGTGAAATACTAAATGATGGCACAGCCAAATGAAAGCTGAGATAGTAATGTGCGTAGTTTGATGCACTCAGTGCTTTTTGCCATCTGCACTACACAGTGGCTGCTGAAGGGAGCAGAACGTGAAGCCACTGTTTCAGCTTAGCAGGGTATAGACATGAGTGACAAGGGACTGGCTCCTGCACATCTTCCCACAGATGTGTGTGAACCTTCAATGAGGCATGGGAATCTGGATGCAAGAAGTTAGAGGATGCTAGACAGAGAGAAAAAGGTCTTAGAAGTCAGGCAGCCACATGGAAAACCATAACCTGTTGCACATCTGCCTTCCTGCTAGAGGGTGTAAGCTCTTTCCTGGCAGAAAGCCTATTCTGGATTGCTCTATGTCTACACAGCCTGATGCCTAGCCCACACACAGCTGGGACCCACAGGATCTGCTGCAGGTGATGCGTATTTCTAGGTCACATATATATGATAATGTTTAGTATCCCTAAAAAACCACCCCAAAGGTCATAGACCAGAAGCAAACACATTCTCCTCTCTCATGGCTGCAGGGCTGACAGGGCTCAGCTGGGTGGTTCTTCTTGTGTTATTCCCAGTGCTCCTTCTGTGGCTGTGGTCAGACGGCCCTGGGGGCTGGACTTTGGATGCTCAGCTGGGACAAGAGGACTGCATCATCTCCTCCATTGAGTCTCAAGGTCTCTCTTCTCCATTTAGTCTAGCAGGGTAGCTAGATTTGTCACATAGCTCTCCAGGAACCCCAAAGTAAACCAGAAGGGAGGCTTTAAAGCCTGTGATTACGGCTCAGAAAGTATAGAATAGTTGCCACAGGTCCCACCTGCTGAATCTTATGGATTAAGGGGAGGCGGAGTCCAGGCTAGACTGACTGTGGAAGGGGTATCAGGAAGACTGGTCATTGGGGCCATGTGGGAGACAAGCTGATGCATGTGGCTGTGAGACTTGGGGTCCCTACCTCTGGGTTTTATTTTGGTGTCTGTAACTGAACATGAGTAAAGATTCCAGTCCAGACCTGTGCCTTGAGGATCTATCATCTTACGGGGTGTGGTCTTCGGAGCACAGTTTGAGTGGAACACTTGATGAGTGCAACTATCACTACATCTCAAATATCCACATTTGCATGGCTGAATTTATGACAAGTGATGTTTTCTTTTCCTGATAAGGATCATGTTTTGCAAGAAGCCATTGCTGGGCACACAGATACTCTGGTTTCAGACCCTGAAGTGCATCCAGGCTGGCAGGAGCTTGAGAAGCAGCTGTTGAAAGTGAACCACTCCTGTTCTTGGCTCTTCCACTTGCTAGAAGCTGATGTCTCTCCTGGAACCAGTGACTCTGCTGGTGGCTGTGAGCAGCAGCTGGTCTCCACCGTGTAAGTACATCATGGACAGAAAGCCTCCCAACACGATGCCATCAGCCTGAGTTCAGCTGTTCCCTTTTACTGGGAGGACTCTGCTTCTTATTAGTATAATAGAATGATTTAAATTTATTTTAAGGAGATTAACTTTTTGGTCCTATTAGAAAGCATCTCTGCACTATACTTATTAAATAATTCACTGAAGTTTAACTGTTGCTGTAAGTTTTCATAAGAAGTCTAGACCCTGTGTGGGCCATGATTTAATGTGATCTACGTTCTTGTTATTACATGGGCAGAATTCTTACCTTAACTGCTGGTGGAATGCTGCTGTGAGGAGCCATGATTTTCCAGGAATTTTGACTATGCTTATTTTATGGTTGGAAATTTTAAGTGTGATTTGTTTTCATTTTCCTCGCCTTAGGTAGCTCATAGTCATATATGTCAACTAGGGAATGTATTTTTCTTAGACTAAAAATCCATTCCATATTATGGTCTTTATTTTCTCTGGATTTACTCTCAAACTTTATGTATGTCCATAAATAGTTTTCTTTCATTTTTGAAAAAAATAGTTTTCTTTCATTTTCAAATGTATAAACAAATAATTACTAAGTGAACTATTTCAAAGATTCGAATTTGTTTTATAAACCGACTGTCAGGCACTTGTGTATATGTATGTTTAGAAGGTTTATAAAGATCTGTTATCTGGCAAAACATTATTGTTTTAGTTACCTCTGGATTCTTTTTGACTACAGAATATTTCATATTCTTGAAAGAGCACAATTGTCCCTGGGACAAATGTCCTACTGGAAATCCTTCCCAGAGTTTATCAGGAAGACTTGTGAGATGGCTCGATACGTGAACACACAAGGAAGTTTCCCAAACAATCTGTCAGGTAAGTCAGTGATCTTAATGATAGTAGTGTGAAGTAAGGTGACTTAATGAAAGATTATCATAATTCCTGGTGGGAGCATAAAATAGAAGGCTATTTAAGTATGGTTTGTTGTTGGGTTCAGTTTTTTCCTATCCTGGCCAGAATGTCTCTGCACTGTTTCTAATAATGACACACATTGCCGTCAGAATTGTCTTGGTTTAGAGGAACGTTATGAACACTGATCAATCATGACTCTGCTCTCATAGTAGTCCTTCCTGTGGGGCCTGCTGTCTGGATTGAGCACTAAGTCCATCTTTCACTCTGGGAACACCTCAGGCTGAGCAGAGTCCTGTGTAGGAAGTTTTTCTCTACTCTCATACTCAACTCTTGCAACTTGTATCACCAAACATGTGGGTTGTTTTTACACCAGGCCTTTTTTATTTTCTACTCCAGCTGTCCTAGAATTCAATCTAGTTCTGATACCATCTGCCTGGAGATCATATCAGATTCTACAGGATGAAGGCTGTGGAAATCCCACAGGCTGTCCCCATGTCAGATGACAACCCACATCTGGGTCATGCTGGAGAATGAGTAGAATTTGACAGGAAGAAACTGAGAGATGAATGTTGAGATATTTGCTTGGTGTAGTTTCTTCAGTCACATAAGACTTGAGAAGTTTTCCATATGAAAAATTTAATTATTAGGGCTTTGAGTAATGAGCGTATTATAAAGCAATTTTGATGTTGTGTAGCGAGAGGGTAGCTGACCCTTGGGCCAGATGAATAACAGCAGATGGATCAGCAGACTGTGGGTCCCTTGTTTTTGGCTTGAGTTGCCTGCACCATTCCCACCTGATTTGCTTATATCCTTGCTACTTGAAGTGTGGTCCTAGGGTCAACAGCACAAGTAACATGTAGGATTTTTTGAGAAATGCAAAACTGTGGCTCCCTTTCAGACCTAGCCCAGAGTCATCTGGGCTTTCAGTTTTCCTGGGAAGATGGTATTTCAGTAATGCATGACTTAGTGACAGGAATATGTTCTGAGTCATTAGTGAATGTGTCCCAGTGCAAACACCATAGCGTGGCTTACTCAGATGGGGCTGTGTGGTACGTGCCATTGACCATGTGGCCTGCCACCGACTGACACAGCACCGTGTGACTCATGGCTGTAATTACACATCAGTTTCTTTGGCGGACATAGGGCTGTTCAAGCCATTCATTTCTTCTTGTGTGAGGGTTGGTAGTTGATGTCATTTAAGGAATTTATCTTGTTTCTTTTTTTAATTTTTTGTACCGAGGATTGAACTCAGGACCTTGTGCTTTTGAGGCAGGCGGCAGAACCACTGAGCTAAATTCCCAGCCCAGGAATTTATCTCTTTAATCTGCATTGTCCAACTTAGTTTCATAAAATTTAAAAATAATATTTCATTGCTATTATTTAAATATACATATAATCTGTTGATTACATGTTGATGGTTTTGAAAGAACAGGCCCTTGGTTTGAATGCTTTTTCCTTTTTCTATTTCCTTGTTTTTTTTTTTTCTGATTTTCATTCATTCTTTCTTACATCTACTTTAGGTTTACTCTTCATTTCTAATTTCTCGACATGGAGGCTGAGGTCATCAGGCTCTGGCTCTTAAGATGTTAGGAAGTGCTGGCGAGGTGACAATCTGGCCCTCAACATTGCCCACAAGTGATGGGAAGCTTTGTGTGTACTCTACATGATGGTTAATGCATTTAGAATTGTTCAGTGTGGCCATGGAAATAGAATGGGCTTCTCATCTTGGTGGTCACTACGCACTGTAACCTTTGGTCTTTCTTGGGAAGGAACTGCCTGGTCTCAGCTGGTTTCCTCTAGGCCTGTGCCAGTTTGTTCTCGGCTGTTTGCTAGAGGGAAGCACACGCCGGGCTATTGATGCCTCTGTGGTCTCTGGTCCTGAGTACTCTGGCTGCCTTTCCAACTCTCAGCTGCATCGCCTTACATTTCCAGGTTCCAGGTCTCTTCTTTCCCCTTGGGCCATGACCTGAGCTCACACTGAGGGCCCCAGTGGGATCACCTTAGGTCTCACCTTATTTTCTTTTCGTCTTTCTTGGCTCAGTGTTGTCCATTCCTCAGAGGGTGGTAACTCTTCCTCTTGGCTGGAATGGGCTGCAATCAAGAGTTAGAGAAACATCTCTGACACTTCCCACTTGACTGGATTTGTCTGTTATACCTAATTTTGATGTCAATATATTTCTGTTTAGCTCTCTCTGAGGACTCCCCTTGTTATGCAGAAAACATGGATTGGAAAGTCATCAGTGATAATTATTTTGCCTTTTTGAATAACTTACTGACATCGCCAGGAACTTCCACATCCAGGTAATTATTAGAATTCAGCTTCCAGGTCTTCATTTACCTATCATCTGAGGATCAGCAAAGGCTTCTTTAATATTTATGAGCTTGATTTAGACATTGACACAGTGTTGCATATTAGATACCAAATTATTATTTGTTTATAAAATGTATGACTCAAGTTTCCAAGGGCTTTGAGGAAATGCAAATTATAGAGTAATAAAATTTTTCTTTCATAGCAATGTGATTAGTAATAGACACTAAAAGCCAAGCATTTCTTTGAAAAACTGTGTCATTTAGTTGCTTAGAGTGTAGACATGAGACCAGTGACTCAGTCTCTGGTATTTCTGGAGGCTTTAGGCCCAGAAGTGATCTCTGGAAGTAAATATACCAGATTTCTTCTGCACAGCTATTTTAGCACATGTTTTGAGGGGGGGTTTTGTATATGGCTATGGACACTATGCCCAGTTTAAGAGCACATGTTGCTGTCTGTGGGCTGCAATCGAACTTAAAGGGACTGGAGCTTTACAGTAGAACAGGGCCCTCTGACCTGTGAGTGGATCCGAGTTAACTGTGAAGTTCCCCAAAAACCCAGGTGTCGTGCTTCACCCCAGATATACTGAAGTCTCTTGCTGCGTGTATAGTCTGCGTTTCTGCATATTTACCAATTCCATAGATGGTTCTGGTGTACACCAAGTTGGAGAACCATTCTGTGACGTGTATCTAAATCCTGAGATTCATCAGTTGGGGAGACTGAGCCTTGCTTGAAGTGTGTACACATGTAGGCCAGGGTGGCAGACTCCCTGGGAGCTGGTTCCCTGCTTACGTCAGATGCATGTCAGATACATATTCCCTTACTTTCCTGAAAGTCTCAAAACCATCTTGTAGCTCCAGAGAGACAGCAGCTAAAGCAGTGTAGATATACCAAGGACGTGTTAAATGTTGTATCTACAAAACAAGGTCATATAATATATCTCTCGAAAGATGGTAGTGAATTAGATGCTGATATAAGAAATGAAAACACGTTAGAGACAAAGTACAGTTACTATTAGGAAGCTGCATTCCAAATGAAAATACCTGGATCATGTCTGTTTGTATCACTTGCCAACGGTGTGAATCTGTTAATTAAAAAATGGCAATAGCGCTTTCTCCGTGAAGTGGACATAATGCTGTGGACCTCAGCAGGCTGCTGTGACAACAGACTGATGCCACACTTGCAGGAATGCCTCATGAGCTGTGAAGCGAGTGGACCTATGTGTTGCAGCTGCTGCTGGCCCTGACTCCCACGCTGGGGTTAGTGCACAATCGCTGCTCTGTAGCCCTCTTGGTTCCCAGCACTGCCATACCTGGGCATTACCTTCAACAATGCATGGTCCCTGGCATGGTGGCCATTTTTGCATAATGTGTTTTTGTGCAGGGCTGGACTTAACCTAGGTTTATACTGAATCCCTAATAACAGATGGGATTTTTTCCCCAGAAATTGCTTTAAAATAACCATTCTCTCTCCTACAAATAACAGTTAACTAAATGAAACCTGTATTGTGTGTGTGTGTGTGTGTGTGTGTGTGTGTGTGTGTGTGATCTCAGCTGTGGAAAAGTAATAACAGTTAACTAAATGAAACCTGTATTGTGTGTGTGTGTGTGTGTGTGTGTGTGTGTGTGTGTGTGATCTCAGCTATTTGGAAAAGATCACTGGCACATTTTATCTTTTCTGTACCTACCTTGCACCAGAGAGTGCAGAGTTGGAGAAATCAGAAAGGAGTCCTCCCTTCCAGGCATGAACACTAAGAAAAGGCTGAATACCCTTATCCTCAGTTCTGCACTCCCAGGAAGTTGGCTTCAAAGCCGTGCAGCAGAGTTGTGGCCTGTACCCGTGTGAGGCTGGCCTGAGTCTGGTGACCCCATCTGGGGATACAGTAGTGTGGCTCTGCCAGAGGGTCAGTGTGTTCAAGGTGAACCATGCAGACTCCCTGACATCTGAACATGCTTGAAACACCATCGATTTCCAAAGCGGCTGTCTCTTCTGAGTGAGAAGTTAGTTCTGTAAAGGGACACTGGCCATAAACTCTGAGCTGCCATTCTGAAAACACTTCACATTTTAAAAGGAAACACCTAGAGAGAAAGCCCACCTACTGTAAAGGAGCACTAGTGCTGCTGCTGGAACAGGGAGTCCCAGCCTGTCCTTTAAATGGTGCTGGAACCGTGTGTGAAGCAGCCACTCTTTGGACTTTCTTGATAGCCTGAGACATTTTGAATGAAATGTGAAAACGAATCCTAAGATTCTTCCTACAGAAACAGCAAACTTATCTTTAGCAGTGAACATCCTTTGTGAATTCACAGAAGCAAAAAATTTAGAATGTTTTTTTCTGATTGTAAGAAACATATTTTAAGTTCACTATACACAGCTGCATTTTGGATTTCTAAAGCACTTTTAAATGCTCACAATCTGTTGAGAAATGTACCATCTAGTAAATGTTTCATTTAGGGTTACTGTACATTATTACTATCTTAGCAAGTGAGTATGCTGAACTCATTTTTCTTTCTGATACTAAAACTATTCTATTAATGTTGTAGGGTCTTCAATTTCACAAAGTACCTTCTAGTGCTGGAAAAGAAGTGGCATGCTCATGAGGATGAAGAGATGAATGTTCTTTTATCATTTGTGAAGTTTTGGGAGGAATTATTGTTGCCTAATCCTTTTGAATCATCTAGTGGTCATGAACTCCGTAACCTCCCCTCACTCACTGAGAATTTCCTGAATGCAAGTGCTTTGTGGGTAAACTATTCAAACAATTTAGGGAGAAACTCATCAACAGCTGATGCTCAAAAGCTTTTGGAATTTGGCAAAATGATGATTGAAAAATTGCAGACTCATGAAAGTCCCTGGATGGGCAAGGCATACAAAAATGCTTTGAGAGTCATGGAATTAGTACTTTTGGAAATTAATCCCAAGCTTCTAGAGTCATGGCTCTATGGCATTTTAGAAGGAGAAAGAGATAAATTAGAAACGTTGTCTACGATTCTAAATTTTTCTGTTCCAGAAAATGAAAACATTCTGAGTCAGAATTTTAACTTTTCCCAGTTGTTCTATTCAGACTGGCTGGAGTACCCCCCTGTGAATGTGGATTTTGTACATTTGAGTAAAACTATAATAAGTAGCCTCCATGACTTTGGCTTTCTCACTCAGGAAGAAATCTCAGAAGCACTGGATATAGTGTATGCTATCAGAAATGCATCTGATCTTTTCTCAGCCCTTTCTGAACTTCAGAAACAAGAAATTGATAAAATTTTGACTCATGTCTACCTAAATGTCTTCAGAGACAAGGATTCTGCTTTACTTCTGCAACTTTATTCTTCATTTTACCAATACATTTACAGATTCTTGAGCCTTCAGAATAGAGAGCCATTGCTAACTTATCTCACCCAAATCTCACAACACATTTTGGACCTTGTAAAGCAGTTGAATTTCCAAGACATCAGAAAAGCATTTGCCTCTTTGTCTGCGATTGCTGAGGCTCTTGGGGGAATTTCTGGAGAATCTTACTGTGAGCAGTTGCTTTCAATTTTTAAGTTTTTGGAGCTCCAAGCCCAATCTCTGGTGTCTACAGAGGACCAGGAATTGAAAGTGATTCATGCTACTCTGACAGGCCTCAAACAGCTGTTTAAGGTCGATGAAGATTTTCGCCTCTCATTAGCACAGTACGTGAGCCAACTCTTCTTCAGTGGTTCAGGGGATGCACAGTCGGGGAGTAAGTGCTTTGTTTTGGATAGCGAAACTATTTCTTCTGCAATCCATTCAACATCCGAGGGGCCTTCACTTATCCTCCCATGGGCACAGATATTTTCAGCCCTGTCACCAAATGTCAGTGTGTTCAGTGAGTTTATGGCCGTTCACTGTACTGTTTCGTGGCTTCAAATGTGGACTGAAATCTGGGAAAGCGTCTCCCACATATTGAAGTTTGACACGAATGTTTTCACTTCTCTTCATGGTGGTCTCACTCAACTTTTGGGTGAATTGGAAAATGATATGAAAATTTCTAAAAGCTGCCAAGGACTTCTTCCCACCCATTATGCTGCCAGACTCCTCTTAAATTTCTTTCAAAATGTAACCCATGCTGATGGGCTCCATGTTGGAGATGGTTTTCTGGATGTTAGGAATCTTTGGGTGGCACTAGGTGATGCATTCGTTACAGTAAAATCACTGAACCCAGACCAAATAGAGCGATCTCTTTCCACCATGGAAACGGCCTTGCATCACCTGAAGATGTTCCCACTGGACACGAACACAAGCCGAGACTTTTTCTATTCCCTGCTTGATGTTTTCAGTGAGTTAAGCTGTCCACCCGAATATCTGGGTAGAAAGGCAGAGCTGATAAGTCGCTTCCTTTCAAACAATCTCACACATTATGGAGCAGAGTTTGGAAGAGTCACCACTGAGCTGAGAGAGACAATGTCATTTCTGAGACACGTGTCACACGATGGAGATTTAGCATCCTGTGCTGGTGTGTTCCGAGATCTTACTGAGTTGATTTTGGAAGGTGGCTTATTACAGGCAAATGCTTCCCAGAGGATGCTGCAGATTCTGGCTGTGTTAAATTCCACATTTTCCTCAGAGAACACTGTGAGGAGCCTGCGAGGCTGCATTGACGTCTCGAACCATCTGTACTCGATGCATAACTCAAGTCTTTCACAGGGTCTCCTTCCCAGGATTTTTGGGAGTTCCCCAGATATTGAAACCAAAATGAACTCAACATTGAAAATTATAACTCGGGTATTAAATATAATGAAACCTCTTTGTTCTTTGAATGAACCAAATATAAGCTGTGTAAATATTTACTTGAAAGACATGACTGACGTTCTAAACACCATACTTGCTACAGTCTTTGAAAAAGAAAAGGTACCGAAATTTGAGATTTTACTAGCTCTTTTAAATGATTCTACGAACCAAGTGAGAATGATTATCAAGAACTTAACAAGAGACTTTGATTTTGCCTCCCAATCTAACTGGAAAAACTTGAGTGGATTAATTCTTAGACCCATGGAAGTGTCAGGTGAAATTCCTAATCCATTTCAGAATGTTTGGCTGCATTTAATAGCACTGGGGAAAGACATTCACAAGCTTATGCAAGACATTTCCCCTATCATCCTGGAAAATATTTCTCCTACAACTGAAAAAATCTTGAGTCTATTTGCCACCACCGTAAAGGAAAAGGACATAAACCGTTTAGGCAAGTCGCTTTATCATTTCGCTAATCACCTTGCCCTCAACTTACCTGGTAAGCTCCAAAATTTATCAGAAATTGTTCCACATGAGATAAAGACAGCAGTGGGTCTTGGGATTCAACTGGTAAGGGATGTGTTCAACTCCTTAATGCCCATGGTTCGGCACAATATTCCAGAAGATACAGGTCCCTTTCAGGTTTTGAAGCAAGTGTCTTCTCTCATGCGCAGTCTCAGGGCGGCAGACATAGATCTCTTAGTAGAGCAGGTGGAACAGATTAGTGAAGGCCTGGTGGGTTTCTTTAAGAATCTCAGTAGACTGGGCACTGATGCTGCAGGGGTCAACTTGCTTGTTGGCTTGATGGAAAAATTGACAGATAGCTCGCGTTCTTGGAATGTTCACCTGCTCCTGAGGCTCTCCCGCCTCTTTCCCAGGGAGGATGTGAACCTGGTGGTGCACTTGTATCACGCTCTTCCTCATGCCGCAAGGCTCCTGGAGAGAGTAGCTGATAAAAACCTCACGGAGGGCCTGAAGGATATCTATGACTTCACGCTCCTTCACGGCATTAGCATTGCCAACATCTCCAAGGAGGACTTCGCCATTGTGATAAAAGCTCTGCTGGACACCATTGAACGAATATCAGCCCAGCCCGCTCTTGTGTCAGAGGCTTTAACATGCCTTCCTGTGCTTTGGTGCAGGACTCCTGCAACTCCTGGATCTCTGCGGAACCCTGAGTTAGTAGGCTGTGGTGTGCAGGGCCATGTGTCTTCTTCCTTTTATGGCAAAGTGGCCAGTGTGCTGGACCGTCTCCACCTGTCTCACCTGGGGGAGGATTCACAGTGTTCAAAGCAAAGTTTCCGAGTGGAAATGACTAGGAAAGCGGTCTGTGTAATTCAAGAGCTAGCAGACTGGAACTCCATTTTTCTGGAGCTGTCCGAAGTCTTCCATCTTAAGACTCCACTGCTGAAAACTGTGCAGGAATTTTGGGACAAAGTGTTACCTTTTGTCCCACCTTCTGGAAATCAGAGTAATGGCAGCATCCCTGACTTCTGTCCTGGTGGTCCTATTAAACAAGTTGCTTTGCAAATCATAGAACATCTCATAAGGGTCAATTTTACAAAAGTTACTCCTGGTGAGAATATTCTTGGTAAACTGGTTAGTTTACACAAGATTCTTAATATTGCCGAAGCTACACAGACTGCTTTTCAAAATAATGTTTCCTTGCATTTGGAAAGGATAATCAAGTCGATTTCTGAACACTGGAACCTGGAAAACAGAATTCATCATCTGGCCTCTCCATTCATGAGCCTTCTGAGTGGAAATCGCACAGGTAGTAGTTTAGAAGCATTAGCAAGTTTTCTTGATCTAAGTGAAGTAGCCCATAACTTTGAAGAACTGTGGCTGGACTTCCAACAAACCATGGGAGACCTGACACATGACGTTAATATTCAGCACCTTTTGTCTGAAATTGACAAAGGAATCCAAAGTATATATTCAGTGGCCCTTCAGAACACAACTTTACAGCTTTCCTATTTTCTAGAAATTCTCAATTCATCATCATTGAAGATGTTGGAAATTACCAAACATTTTCTCCTGGTCACAAAAAACTGGCTTCATGAATATGCAAAGGAAGATTACTCCAGACTGATACAAATGTTCTTTGTTCCTGTGTCCAATGAGGGTTTCAGGGACAATAGAACTGTGTTGATTAAAGATGTTGCTACGGTTTTGGGCTATCTGAAAAATATTTCTAGGGGAAACAATTTTGATGTTGTCTTTCTTTCTCCCCTGCTACATGGAGAAAAGCTGGTCAATTTCTCATTTGTTTGGTGGCTTCTTGAAAACATAGTTGATAGTTCTCAGGAAGCAGGTCCACGTTTAAATGACACTGACCTTCCCACAATGAACCTCCTTAACCTCCCCTTGAACCACACATGGTCAGTGAAGGGTGGGAAAGCAAGTTTCTCTCCAAGACGCTTGGTGGATTTTGTGGATCAGCTTCTGAAGATATTCTTTTCCCCGCTCCTAAAGAAAAATTTGGACAACGAAATATCTCTTCTGCTTAAAGACTTGTATGAAGAGACTGCAGAGAGGAGGTGAGTTTACTTTGGCTTTATTTAGAACATGTAGTTCTATATCTCAAACCACTTTATTTTTTGAATTATAGAAGTGGCAAGGATAGCACTTGTCCCTGTAATACCTTTAAATTCTCTTTGAAATAGATCTGTTCGTGAGCATTTTGTAGAAATATCAAGGTAAAATAATTTTGGTGTTGTCATTTAACTAGTGAACATTTCAGTCTAGCCTAGGATAAGGAATCACATATTCTTTCATTTTAGGTTACAAAGACAGTGATGACACTGTTTTATATGGAATTGAAAAATTAATTTTTATGGCAGCACAGTGGTACCTTGGTTCACAAACTTAATTCGGGTCACAAACCAAATTTGTTGCGAACCAAATCAAATCCATTGGTCAGGTTCAGTGTTGACCTTATTGGTAAATTTGATTTGGTTTGTGACCATTTTGGTTTGCAGCCAGAATCTTGGAAAGAATGAAGTTTGTGAAGTAAGGTACCATTGTATGCACAAATGCAGTGCAATAATTTAAATTGCTTCATTAAAAATGGAGGGCTTTCATGTTTTCAGTCCACTTAATCTGTTGTGATGTTTTTATTTGGAAACATTAAAATTAATAGTTGCTTTCTTTATTCATGTATCTTGTGAAATAGCTTAGAATCTTACTAGTGAAAATGCTGAGGGAAACTGCAGTTTGTTCTGTGTTGTCAGTGAGGGCTCCCGTCCTCTAAGAACTCATCGATGGAATCAGGTTCGGGAATCTGGGGGCTGGATAAGCAAACCCACAGTCAGTAGGACCTGTTACTAGGAGGGCCGGTCCCTGCCAGTGGCTGTTGGCTCTGCGGGGCAGGGAGTCTCATGTCCTCTACTACAGCCTAGCAGCTGATGTTTCAGGCACCCAGGCTGTTGTCCCTTCTGAGTATCTTGAAACCAATTGATTAGGGCCTTTAATCACAGCTGCAAAATCTCTTCTCAGCAACATGTAGGTTCATGTTGAATCAAGCTGCCGGAAGGAGGCATATTTATGCTACAAAATTGTTCCCAGCTCCCATCTTTCCTGCAATTCTTCCTTGGAGCCCACAAAACCAGAGCCCCCTGTCACCCAGCCAGGCCAGCTCAGCACGGAGTCTTCCTGCACCCAAGTGACCTTTTAGAACTTTCCAAATCCAGAGGCAGTATAGACAGGCTTTCCGTATCTCCCGGTCTCTCTCTCACATCAAGAATCACTTTGTAGTCATTTCACCTCTTGCCTCCCTCACTCCCTTCCCTTTTTCCTTGTTTCTTTCCTTTCTTTTCAATACTGGAAACTGACCCTGGGGTCTTCACACTGGTTTACTTTCCCAACCCTTTTGTATTTTTATTTCTTATTTTGAGACATGATCTCGCTAAGTTACCCAGGCGGGGCTAACTTGCAGTTGTCCTTCCTCAGTCTCCTAGAGTTCTGGGATTACAGGTGTGTGCTAACCATACCTAGCTATGTCACCACTTTTCACATTGTTAGGTTCAAAGAATTGTGATAGAAATGTCCATAAGATTTCTCTACTCTTCATTATTTGGGCAAGAATAAAATTAAACTTCAGTTGGAATCATTTTAGCTTGTCATCTTTCACTCAGTGTTACTCTCCTGTGACACTATTGTGAAACAAAATCAGCACATATTGTAATCTCTCCACTGGCAATGTGTGAAACATTAACATTCATATTTACAGTTCTCTCCTCACAGATAAAATTCTAGAAGCTTTGAGGCTGGATCAGTTTCTGACCCAGAGGAACTCAGAAAGATGGACAAGCATTTTCTCAAGCTTGGAGGAGGCCGTGCATCATGTGATCAGAAGCTCTTTCCCAACAGACAGTCGGGAACTCTATGCTGGTAGCCCTGGAGGGCTGGAGTTCATGCGAGATGTAGTCCTGGTCCTTCTGAGGGCAGCCTTAGTGGAGAATGAGCCTGACAGTGGTCAGGACTTCTCTGGGAGGCTGAGTCAGGTGCTTTTCCACATGAACAGCTCTGTGAATCTCTTCCAGCTCTGCCAGGACCTCAGGTCAGTTGTTCACCTTGTGCGAGAAAGCTCTGCAGAGATGGCGAATCTTGTGAACACTCTTCTCACCTCTCCCAGTGACTTCCATACTTCGTATTCTGTACTCCAAGAAGTTATACTTGCTAATCTGACTGTCTTGCTTTCTTTCGCAAATAACTCATTCCCTCTGCACAACCGAGAAGCCCTAGAAATCACTAAGGCATTGCTTGGTGTAATTTCTGGTGCTGGTGCAGAAGACGGTGTCCTGGAACTCCTCTTAGAAATATCTAGCACTCTCACCACGTTGCTAGATGACAGTGCTGGGCTGAAGGAGTTGGCCGCGACAGTGGACTCCTTTGTGAAACTTCTCCAGCTGGCTAAGAAAGTTTCAGGGAGGGTGACCACGATTTTTGAAACTCATTTCATCTCCAGTACCAAAGACAGCAGCAAATTCATTGACACTCTCTATTTTAACATGCAACGAAGAGTTCAGCATCTTGTGAAGGAAATTACTACTTTGAAAAAAGATCATTTTGCTTATGAAAACTTAAATGATTTGTTAGTGCCATTCCTTGACCTGGTTTTTGGGATGATTGGGGTAAAAGCTAATGTTTCACAGGACTCTGACATTCCCAATCTGTCCTCTAGCCTGCTCTCAGAGGTGAGCCAATCCAAGAACTTTACTGAGATTTTGGAAGAGATGGCTCAGTTTTTCACTTCTGTGCAAATGAATTTGGGAGACTTGGAGCGCCTTGTGGTGGCACTTAATAATGGGACTCCAGTATTTTCCACAGATTCTGTCAGCTTATGGGAGGAAGTTCTGGGTTGCTTAGTTCCAATAAATTACATCACCAATCAAATAAACTTCTTACACTCAAGTCCTGTTTCCCCTCGTAGTGATGCTTGGGATACCATATGGGAACGAATTCATGAAGTGATGCCTTTTTTGGATAAAATGTTACCAGAAAACAGCACTGAAATGGGAGCATCCACAAAGACATTGATTGATCTCACCTTAGACACTTTCTGGGGTAGTTTAAAGAGACATGGTGATGTTCTAGACCTGCTGCTGACATTTGCTCCACCTCCACGTGGCCTTTTAGAAACCACAGCCACAGTACTGGAGGCTCCTCATGGAATTAAAAGTAATGACGGGACTGATTTAAGGAGAAGTTTATTTGACAGCATGTCCTTGATCCAGAATATAACTCATCATCAACTGGAAAGAGTCTCTGCAAAGAATGTCACATGGGCACAGGAGGCGACGCCCATGAACGAGACGATGGGTTTCCCTTACAGCTTCAGACCATCATTGAGTTTCAAGAAATACCTGAAGCGATTAATAGTATTGATTGAAAACTGGCAAAAAGCCCTGCTGGCAGAGGAAAGGTAATTAAACGCCTCATTCATGTCCTTTTTCCTACGCAGTGGCCATGCAGGGAGTTAGGTGGGTGCAGGGCAAGTCATTCTTGCTTTCGGCTTTCATTCCATCCTGAGGCTGGCTTTCACGTGGACTGATTGGTGTCCAGCCTTGCATTTTCAGATCAGAGCAGTTGGTGTGTTCATCCTGTCACCGTTGTTTTGGGGTGGGTTTGTTCCAAAGCCCCTGCCCCAGCTACTTGAGATGTTCTTTGTGTAACCCAGTCACCTCCTGTGACACAGCATGCTAGAGCTCCTGACTCCTGCCTGTAACTTGCTGCCGGTGGTCGCCCTCTCCTGCTGTCTTCTGGTCTCTGCTGATGATCGTCCCCCTCTCCACCGTGAGGTCAGCCTGCTCACACTCTGCCCATGAGCGAGGAGATGTGCTGTTTGTCTCTCTGCCCTGTCTTACTTCACCTAACACAGCGCCACCTGGCCCATCGGCACCATCACGGAAAGCAGATTCCACCCTCGGTGGCTGGCACCTGGTTTTGGCTCCCTTGAATGGTTTTCTTTGTCTTTCAAGGCAATGGGACAAGAAGAGAAAGCAAATTCAGGCTGGTCAGCAGCAAAATCAGGGTCGTGAGGTACCCTAGAAAACAAAGGTTCCTGGAGGTCCAGGTCCGGTCCCTGTGACTTCTTGTGTTTCTGTAAAGCAGATTCAGTCAGAGCAGGGCAGACGGCTCTGGTGCTTGGGTGCAGACGTAGTGTTAATGCTCTGTCTGTTTCCCCCCAAGTGTTGTGGAGCTGTGTCGAGTCTCCCGGCAGCTGGAGGCGCCCTTAGAAGCCATGGCGATGCTGTGGAGAGTGGAGACAGCGGTTCTTCGCGGGCTCACCGTCCTTGCAGGTGCACAGGAGTGCTTGTCAGAGCTTGGCTGGAAGGGTGGCTGAGGAGTGTCCCTGGGCTTCTTTCAGAACAAAGCATCGTTTTCTTAGCCTGGCTCCCAGGCTCAGCCACATCTGGGCTACTCTTTCTGACGTCCAGGACCCTGCTCCAGCCAAATCAGATAGGGCCTCCCTAGCCCCGTGCTGGGCCTGCTGGCCTCCTTTTCTTTGCTCTTGGAATGTGCTTCCCTGTCCTTGTGCCTGGGGCCTCCTGTCCATGCTCCCTGAGCGTGTCCCCTCTGGTCCAAGCTCCACTTCTGTTGCTGTAATGTGCCCATCGAAGGTCAGGCCGCCTGATGGGGTAACCGGCTTTTTCGGGCGTGGAAGTGTCAGGTTGTAGAGGACATCTGGTTCCGGGGAGTGGACCGCAGCTGTCTTGGTTATTCGCACTGACGTGCACACTGTCCCCTCCATGCGGTCTTCTGCACACCGCTCCCAGCACCCTGTCCTGCGGCTGTCAGGGCTGTGGACTGTGAGTTGGCTGACAGCGACGGGTACAGGAGGTGGAGAGGATGAGGGCAGAGAGGAGAGAGGGGATGCCTGGGTGCGTCTGCATCTTCTCCAACCAGGAGGAGCAGAGAGGAGCGGAGAAGGACTTGGGGGTTGGCCCTGTATCCCGCCCTTCCGTGAATTCCCTCCACACCAGGAGCTCCCTCTCCTATGTGTCCTGATTTGTTATTAGATTATTGTGTTATCATCGCTGCTGTGTCCTGTGGTCTTCCTTAGTTTAGGGGTTATTTCTTTGTCCTTCCATACCCGGGCTCCTCTCTTGGGTCGTGACTTCCCAGTTCCAGCCCAAATCATGGGATGCAGTTCCGAGTGTGTCCCCTCTGGTCATCAGGGCTGTGCCTGTCTGTGATAACCCTCTCATCCTGTGGTCCCTGGGATTCCCTGCCGTGGGAGACACTGGACCAGCCTCCGTGTGCTCTGGGCTGCTTTTGTACAACGGGACACCATGTGGAGCTGACGGGACGTGAGAAAGTGAAGAGTGCCTGGAAAGGGAGGGTCACTGCGGTGTCCGCGGGGGTCCAACCGGAAGCAGGGGTCACTGCCCTGGTGGGTGCTCTAAGGGTGGGTGGTGAGGCTGGAGCTGGGGGCTCGGGGCTGTGTCAGCATGGGAGCAGCAGGGAGGCTCGAGCTGCCGGCAGAGCAGTGCCAACACCTCAGCAAGCAAGATGATCCCAGTGCTGCCATGCATTGGGAAGAAGCCTGAGAGGGAGAGGTGCAGGGTGGAGGAGGCCTTGGGGGCCGCATCCCCAGATGGGGCAGTTGGCTGGACCCCGAGTGAGTGCTGCGCAGATGTGTGTGCGTGTGTAACCTGTGTTCCTGGGGCTCCAGTGACGTGTGTGGAAGGATCAGTGAGCGTGGGGCTGTGTGTGGGGTCCCTTCATCCAAAAGGCTCATGGGAGAGTGAAGCACCCAGAAGCTCTGTGGTCCCCAGTGTCCCCAGGCTCACCACCCACCCTTCGTGACCCTCCCTTTCCAGGCACTCTTCACTTTTCCACGTCCCGTCAGCTCCACATGGTGTCCCGTTGTACAAAAGCAGCCCAGAGCACACGGAGGCTGGTCCAGTGTCTCCCACGGCAGGGAATCCCAGGGACCACAGGATGAGAGGGTTATCACAGACAGGCACGCTCTCATGGACTCTGGCAACTGGGGAGCGTCTCAAACCGCGTTCGATCCTGCTGCTCACGCAGCTGTTTGCTAACCAGAAACCAAGAGCCGAGCAGTGTTTTGGGTGAAGAAATATGAACAAAGAGCTAGAACCCCGAGGTCTGTCATGTGGGAGTTAGGGGCTTCCTGTAGCTTTTAAAGACAGTGTTCATTTCTGACGGGAAGATGTAATTTTCACAGCTGGCTAGGGTTGTGGGTTTTAAGTAAACACCGAAAGATGCCTGAATTCCTATTGGCTTGCATCTTGCCATTTTGTATTGCAGCTGCTAAATTAATATAGCAAGTTATGTTAGGATTAGAGAATTAAAGTTCAGTTTTAATGTCGTGTGGCTATATTTTATGTGAGGGAAACTCCATGGCCTGGCTGTCATTGAAACCGCAGGCCCATTTTCCCCACCAGACTACAGCTCCATCCTGCACAGACCCAGGGGAGGTAGGCACGGCCAGGTGGCGAGGAAGACACAGGCAGGGTGGGCCCTGATGGCCAGGCGGCTCTCGGATGGAAGAGGGAGAAAATCGGGGCATTGTCCTCACCGCAGGCCTGAGTCCCTGCCTCGGGGGGAGCTCAGAGTCTGCAGGAGAGAAGACGCCAAGCCCTTTCTCCTCCTCTGGCTTTGGTATGCCACAAGGTTGTGCTGGAGCCTGCTGCGGTTCCCTGAGGGCAGAGGGAGTGTGTGCCTGGGGACATCCACTTTCATCTTCCCACCCCACAGATGGCGAGGTGGAGGCGCACAGAGCCAGTCAGGGCCAGTCAGGGCCCAGGGTTAGGGAAGGAGGAAGAGTGGAGCGGGGCATGCACAGCGCAGGTGTCTGGCTGCCTCCTCTGGGCAGTGAGAGGGGCTGGAGCGGCAAGGGCTGGCTCTGGGGCTTGGCAGGAGCTGAGTGAGACTGAAGGAGAGGGACCCTGGGAGGGGCTGGCATCAGGCTCCAGCCGGGCTCAAGACCCTGTCACTGCGATGACGGCTGCAGGGCATCCGACCAGGGCAGCAAGGCCAGCGGCACAGCAGCCTGGCCTGCATCCTGGAATCACAGCACGGGCTCGTCCTTGCAGAGGCCCATGCCACCACCCTGATACCTCACGGCGGGACCTGTTGTGGCCTCTCTGCTCTCCTGGGTCCCGGAACCCAGCTTCTGTCCCCTTTTTTACACTCCCCCAAGGCAGGGGCTGGTTGTGCTGGAAGACAGGCGCCGGAGTGTTCACCTGCGCTTTCTTCCCTTCTGTCCACATTTTAAGAAGCAGCTATTGAGAAATGCATTTCACATTTTCTGTAATAAAACCACCTTCAAGACTGGTGAAATATGATTAACAAGGAAAGCAAAACAGTAGGTTGGATGCCTCTGGAAAGCACAGCTTTAGGTATATCTTTTTGTTTGTTTTTTTCTTCCTTTGTAAAATTACACATGTTTGCCATACACAATAAGTGCATTCACCATGGGGAGCTGTACATACGTTTTGCATCTTGCTTTAGGTATGTTGTATTGACTTCACATTGCATTTGCTCAAAACTATTTTGTTTTAAACCAGTAAACTTTAGTTTTTAACAGCAGCCTTATTTTCACAGCAGCACTGAGCAGTACATACTGATTCCCATCACCCTCCCACCTCCCGAATCCCTCCTTTCCCTACCAGAGTTGCCCGGTACGGGGTTTGGACAGATGCATGTGACATGTGCCCATCATCACAGATCCCCACCAGTGACTCCTGCTTCTCACATGGGTTCCTTCCTGGCCCTGACCCCTGGCAAGCGCTGACCTTTACCCGGCTGCAAGGTTCTGCCTCTTCCAGCACTGAGTTGGAAGTCAGTCTGCAGCTTGCTAGGACTGGTGTCTTCTACTCAGTGTCTGCCCACACTTTTAAAAGATGATTTCTGAGTAGCAGGGTCATCGTCTGCCAGGATTATAGTTTTTCACCAATTGAAAACATTCAAGGGGTTCAGTATTCACAACAATTTATTTAATTTTTTGCCGGGATCGGGTGTCTGGAGATGGGGAGCTGGGCGCCAGGGGTGGCAGAGCGGGAACGGGGTGGTTCCGAGATGGGAGGCAGGTTCTGAGAGCTGCAGTGCTCAGGGGAGGAAGCCTGGGAGTCCTGTGGGAGAGCAGGGGGAGCAGGAGGCTGAGCACCTTGGACCAGTGGTTGCAGAAAAATCGCGGGCCCCATGAGGCCTCGAGCAGACTATTTGTAGGAGACACCTGAGGCTGTGGGCTGTGTGTGGGACCTGCAGTTTCCTGGGGCTGCACTGGGAGGGCAGAGCCACTGGGGTGGAGGGGAGCTGGTGGAGAGGTTGGGGGCTCTGAAGACCAAGGAGGGCATCTTTCTGGCTTCCAGATGTGCTTTGTACAGCACGGAGATGCCCTCAGGTAGAACTTGCACTTACTGCTTCCTCCCCTGGGGCACTCTGGGAACAAATGAAAGGCTGTTTACAGCTGTGCTAGGATGGTGCACAGAAACCAAGATTGTCCTGGGAAAGCTGGGGTGAGTGAGCACCTCCCAGTGGATATAGGAAGAGAGACAAGTTTTGGGAGGAAGAAGGAAATTGCTTTCTGTACAACCAATTCAGCCCAGAAAAAGTGAGGTCTTTAATTGTGTTCAGAACTCAGAAGGCATGGTAGCATGAATGGATAAAGAACTTAGGGCATGGTACTGTATACCTAAAATGTACCAATAAACTCAATTAAAAAAAAAAAGAACTTAGGGCATGGGCACACAATGGAAAATTACTCACCCATGAAAAAGAATAGATTCTGCCATTTGCAGTGACATGGATGGGGCTGGAGTTGAATAAGTCAGGCAACAGAAAGGCAGGGACCCCATTTATACTCAGAAGCTGACAGATTGATCTTGTAGCAATGAAGAGTAGAATCGTGGCTTTCAGAGTCTGAGAAGGACTGAAGCGGGAGGCGAGGAGAGGACAATTATGGTCTGGGTGCATTCGGAGAGGAGGGATAACTGCTAGTGTTCTGGAGCACGGAGTGCAGCTAGAGTTCAACAGATGGCTGCATGTTCCAAAACTAGGCAGTGGAGAGGATTTCGAATGTTCTTAACATGAATAAATGGCAAATTTCTGCAGTGATGGATGGGCCGGCCACTGAGATGCCACCCCGTGCCCCCTAAATTCACTGTGCTTCCCTTCACAACCTACACATACTTTCACCTTTTTCACAACCTGGCAGTGTGGGAATCCTTTAGGAATCAGCTCTGTTTCGAATCTCCAGTGAATCAGTGGGTGTGGCTGGTTCTCATAGCCTCTCTTTCCTCTGCAGAAAACCCCTCCCTGATGAAGGAGACACTGTGTGAGGCTCTGAGCTGCAGTCCAGGCAGGGCATGGCGGCTCCTCCTACCCGCTGTCCAGGGGGCTGTGCTGCTGCACGGCCTCTACCAGGTTTGTAGGTTTTTCTTTCTCTTTGTTTCCTTTTCTTTTGAGACAGGGTCTTGCTACATAGCCCAGGCTGGCCTCGAACTCACAGCAATCCTCCTGCCTCAGCCTCCTGAGTTCTGGGATCTCAGGTGTGCAGCACCACACCAGGCTAAAAAAAATCTAATTTTTACATGTTTGCCAGCCCATCACTGGCTCCAAGAACTGAGTGCATGTCCAGCTTCTAGGGATGGAGCTGAGTGGCAGCCAGTGTGACATGTCATCTTTTTGTTTGGTACTGGGGATTGAACTCAGGTCCTTGCACTTGCCAGGCAGGCAGTGGCACCACTGAGCTTAAACTCCAGGTCCTGTCTCTTTATTAATTTAGATGAGTGTTCAGGTGTCCCATGCAGGGGCTCTGACACTGAATCTGGATTGGGCCTCACCCGGACCACTCCTGCAGGGGGCTCAGAGCAGTGGCCTCTGCCGGGGCTGGGACAACGTGGCATTTCCCCAGTGTGAGGCTCGTGGGGACACAGATGCCCCAGGCTTCGGGAGGTGGCCATGCCCCTCAGACTCCTGCAGGCCGGGACAGCTCTGCTCCTTCCGTGGCCCGTGATGCCTACCTCCAAGTCCTCCTCACCCCCCTGGGCTCTGCACAGTATTACTTTCCGCAGCTGGGATTGCTTATTTCACTTAGGATTTCCTTTAGTTTCATCTGTGTGATTGCAAATGGCACAGATTCCTTCTGTATGGCTAAGTAACATTGCAGTATGAGCGTGCGTGAGTGTGTGTTAAGATTTTCCTTTCTCCATCCCTCTGTCAGTGGGCACTGGACACTAGGTGGATTCCACGCCTTGGTTATTGTGAGTAATGCCGCAGTGAACACTGAGCAGGCAGAATCATTTTGAGGGCTGGTTTCATTTCCGTGTACATCGCAGCCATGGAATTGCCGGCTCATGTGATAGCTCTGATCCTAGTTCTTCAAGGCACCAGCATAGCGTTCTCCATCATGCTGTGCTACTTTGTGTCCTCACTAACGGTGTGCAAGGCCCCGTCTTCCCCATGCCTCACCCGCACTGGGTGCCCCGGTTTCTGGTGACAGTGATGGCCTGGACTTTGCTGCATCCCCGGGATTGGTGGTGCTGAGCCCCGCACAGGCTCCTGCTGGCCACTGCCGTACCGCATGTCTGTTCCGGCCTTTGCCTATGTTTAAAGACTGTAGCTTCCGTTTCTCTTGCTGTTGGGTGGAATGAGTCCCTGGGCAGCACCCCTCCGGGCCCTGAACGTCCTCCGCCGTGTATGAAAGAGCTGCCCCCTTGCTGGGTTGGTTAGTGACAAGCAGGAATGCGGCTGGCACTGAGTTCTCCGCGCTGCCTCCCAGTGGCTTTGCATTCTGTTTTCCTGAGACGACTGAAAGCAACTGAAACCTGCACTGTGTCTCACGCTGGGGGAGGGCGTGTGTGCTCGTGGCAATGTGTACTCGAGTTCTGACTTACACCACTGCTGTGTTTTCCAGGAAACTGACAAGTTATGGAGCTCTCCAGGTCAGCTAAATTGTGAAAGTCTGAGCAAGAATCTTTCCAGAGCCTTGGAAAGCTTCAAAAGTGACTTGGAAAATGCCACTGAGCAGGACTGCCTGTGCCAGCCCCCACTGCGAACTGTCCAGCAGCGCCTGCACGAGTATGTCCAGTGTGGCCTTGGGTCTTCTCCGGCACTTTCCTTCATGTAGGGTGTGTCTAGCGCTTTTAAATTATGAATTTCCAGCCAGGTGTGGTGGTGCACCCCTGTAATCCCAGCACTTGGGAAGCTGAGGCAGGAGGATTCCTTTGAGTTGAGGCCGACCTGAACTATAGAGTGAAACCTTATCTCAAAAGAAGAAGAAGAAGAAAAAAAAAAAGAATTTCAAGCCAGGTGTTTTGGTGCACACCTGTAATCTGGGAGGCTGAGGCAGAAGGTTTGCAAGTTTGAGCCCAGCCTGGGCAACTTTGCAAGACCCTGTCTCAAAACAAAATATAAATAAAGGGTGGCCAGGGATTTAGCTCAGCGGCTCCGTGGCCTGCCTTGCAAGTGCAAGGACCCGAGTTCAATCCCTGGTACCAAAAAAATAAAATAAAAATAAAGGGCTAGGAATATAGCTTAGTGTGAAGGCCCCGGGTTCAATCCCCAGGACCACACAAAACAAATTTTAGGAAACCACGTGTGTCACATAGTATGAATATATACATGAATATACGCATTTTCTAAACAACTTCAACCTGAGGTATTGCGTTAGTTTATCAGAGCAGCCTTAAGCATGCTGTTCACCTTACTGATAGCAATTTTGGACCTGAAGTCAGGATTGCTGCGTGTGTGAAATATGTCTGAGCACGTTCTACCAAGTGTTAAATGCGGCTGAATGAACAGACGTCATTATGCACTCCACACGTGATGTTTCTCTGTGAGTGGCCAGAGAGACACCGGGGCCTTGTGTCCCCCAGTGGCCTTGTTCTCAGGAAGGTGCCCTCTGGCCTCTTGCTGTTGCCGTCCCTTGGACAGCTTACATCTGTCTGCCTGCACTTTCCATGATTACAGTGTCGCTTGGTGGGGCGTGAGTGTACCGGCGATCACACAAGACATCGTTGGGAGACCTTGGGCGTCTGTCCCGGGAGTTTTAGAAATGTGGCCTTCCCTGGATGTGTCCCATCTCCTCTCGTCTCAGAAACTGAGCAGGGTGGGGCCTGCTTAGTGCTTGGGTGGGAGAAACGTGGACTTATCCCGTGCTTCTCTCCCAGGGGTGGTCGGTATTATTCACCCCAACATTGTGTCATGATGCTTAACTTGGCTTTAATTTTCTGCCATTTCAGGTTGGCCAAGAGTCTCGGGGAGACGTGGCTATCAAAGAGCCCCATTATGGCTTTCCTTAGCGACTTCGCAGTCACCAAGGGTGAGTGTGTGGTTCTTCTAATTTTGCTTGATTGGAAGTGAGACCTAGTATTTCCCTCAGATGGATGATTAAAATAAAATGTAAGAAGGGAAAACACTGCGTAGGCGATGAGTCACAGTTTAGAAGTTGGCTGGTCTGATGTATTAGGTGTTTATAAATCACGTCCTAAGGTCCTGGGGTATCCAAGATCGGGCAGAAGAGGGGAGAGAAAATTCTGGGCCCGATTTTGCTCCCTCTCTGTCCTTGGATGAAACATCTAATGCTCATTCATCCTGTTCTGTGTCTATTCCATCTACACACGGTTCTTAGAGTTTTTAAGCATCAACTTGTGCTGAAGAATGGTGGCAAATCCTTAAGTGATACTCTTTTTGGTTAACAGTGAGATCAGTCACCAGGTGTGATAGAAACAATACAATAAAAATTTAAAAAATGTATTATGAAGGTATATCACTATTAATTTCTCTCAGAATCCTCCCCCGGTTTTGAACGCACTCTCCCCATTCTTGCTTCTTTTTAGGCAGCTCTGGTGTCCTCCTTCCTGAGTGTCTTTAGTTACGCTGTGGTGGCTCCCGCCACATCCTGAGTGGATTTGAAAATGTAGACCTTTCTCTGTCATTTTGAGTGAGAGCCGGAAGTTGCACATTGACTGGCGCCCAAGGTGGACGAGGATGTGCTGTCATGGTTTTACAGGCCCCTCTCCAGTGGACGGTGATCGGGTGCAGCGTTCACCGTGATTTTGATCGCACTGCATAAAGACACTCGGGAAGAACATGTCCAGAACTGCTCCCGAAAGTGGCAACAATGAAGGGACATGTGTGTTTGAAGTGAGGGGAGGATTTGGAGGGGGGTTAATGACAGTGTGTCTTTTACAGTGATAACGTTTCAATTTAAATAGTCCCTGTAGTTTCAAATCAGGCTTTGTACATGTGGAAAAGTGAATTTCTCACTGCAGTGGTCATTGTTCCCTAAGACAAAGCTTTTTCCAAAGTAAACCTTACAGTGCACAGGTTTTAGAACAAGTAAACAAGTGACCAGAGGACACCACATAACATGGGGCTCGATTTACTTAAAAAATAAATGAGCTCAGTGACTCCTAGAAGAGTGAGACCTAACTCTCAGATCGTAAAATCCGATTTTGCTCTTATAGTCATTAATAATCTGAATATTTACCCTAACATGTAGTTCCTTTTGTTTGTTTCAGATATAAAAGTTAGGGATTTGATGCAGAACATCACCAGGTTAACTGAAGAGCTTCGGTCTTCCGTCCACATCTCCTATGAAACCATCCACAGCATTTTGGAAGCAAATATTTCCCTCTCCAAGGTACAGTACTTCTCTGGGTGCTGTGTCCGCCCACAGGCCAGCCTGAGCTTTGGCGTCATGGTCTCTGTCTTCCCCTCGCCCCCCACCTCCCACGCCTGGGAAGTCGCTGCTGTCAGCATAGAACTGAACAAGGAACGGAAGTTGTCACACACCAAGGGACGTCCTTGGTGGCACCCAGTGCAGTCATCAAGGAGCAGGTGCCTTTCGTGGCTGCAGCTGGTGTGACCTGTCAGGGCCGTCCTGTTGGGGGTTCACTTTCCTCTGCAGAGAACCCTGAAAGTGGCACCAGGTGAGCACTGCAGTCTGCTGGGCCTGTGCTCACTTTCACCCCAGCTCATCAATCTAAAATTAAAAAGAGATAGGTTAGAAGCTGTAAGGTCAAACTTCGTATTATAGTAGTAAGTCGTTTGCAGTAAGACACATGGTCCTCGGTCCCTTCCATCCGTTCCATTCCTTTCCTTTCCTGAATGGGCACTTGACCCCAGAGATCTGTACTCCCATCCTTTTTTATTTTTTATTTTAAGACCAGATCTCATTAGTGGAATTCCACCTGCAATACTCAACCCTCCTGCCTCAGCCTCCCTCAGTGCCGAGGCATGTATAGCCATGCATGGCATGTACTTTTCAATAAAATATTAAGTTCATCTCATTAAACACCAAGTGTGGGTGGGGAGGTTGGGGAGGCTCAGAGGAGGGGCACAGGAACAATGTTGTAATTTCTTCTGCTCAGATCGCTCACAGCCTTTTCTAGAAATAGTGATTGGCTTTGGTTTGAAATCTCTGGTGACTGGGGCAGCATTTGGGAAGCGCCTGAGGCCGCCCTACGAGTCAGAGACGCTGACTTAGGTCCCAGCAGTTGCTCCCCTTAACGCTGCCTTTCAGCTCTGCGGCGCCTGTGTTGCAGAGCGGCCACTAGGTGTCGCTAATGTTCCACCCCGAGAAGACCTGATTCCGCCAGGGTTGCTGCCCAGAGGGTTTGCAGTGTTTTCTGCAGTCTGTGTGTCTTCCTGTGCCTCTAGTGAAGCCACTGCGCTCGCCTGAGTAGGACAGTCAGGGAGTAAGCAAGTCGCCGTGTCCCTTTCAAGTGTGCACCGAGTGTGCCCCTTTCAAGTGTGTACACTTGAAAGTGGGCGCCACTAGGGTGTCCCTGATCCCGGGAAGGAATCTGTGTCCCTTTGGGTGGCACGCTGGGCTCTGTTGTTGTTTACATTGTTAAGGTGACTACAGGACTGTGTGATTTGTAGCACTATCTCCTTGTGTGTGTCCCTAGGCTTCTCTATTATAGCTTGCAAGTTGATCAAACAGGATTTTTTTTTCAGCATTGGGGTTTGAACTCAGGGCCTTCACATTCAGTTACATCCCCCATCCCTCCTTCCACCCATCCATTCTTTTTCCTTTCCTTTCTTTCTTTCTTTTCTTTTCTTTCTTTCTTCATTCATTCTATTTTCAATTTTGAGATAGGGTCATGCAGAGCTGCTTACTTGCTCAGACTGCGCTTGAATCCATGATCCTCCTGCCTTAGCCTCCCAGAGTGCTGGGAAGACAGGCGTGGGTCCCTACGGCCGGCTCACGGTTTTTAGTTTTTTTAAAAAAATATTTTATTTTATTGGTACATTTCAGGTATAAATACAATGACATTCATTGTTGGAAGTTTGTACCTTTATAGGATATATCTTGGTTCTTATTTGTTCCCTATAGCCCTGCCCTCCTTTCACCCCCCACCCCTCCCTATTTACAAAGATTTTGTTTCCAGTTTTTCCTTTTCTCATATTAATTCCTTTCCCTTCTTTCCTTTCCCCAACCCCTCGTACTCCCCCCCTTCCCCTTTGGACCTTTTCTTCCTATTTCACATTATTATGCCTTTTGATCCTTATTTACACTTTCAGTTTCTCACACAGAGAAACTATTCAGTATTTACATGTGTGTCCTATGTATTTCACTTAGGAGTATGGCCTCAATGTGCATCCATTTAGCTCTAAATGTCTCTAATTTTTCATTCTTTATAGCCAAGTAGTATTCCATTTTATATTAAAAACCACATTTTCTTTATCCAGTCTCCAGTTGATGGGCAATTGGACTGTTTCCAAGTTTTAGCTATCACAAATTATGCTGCTATGAACATGGGTGCACATACATCACTACAGTATGATTCTTTTAATTCTTTAGGGAAGATACAGCAGGGGAATAGCTGGGTCAAATGGAACCTCTAATCCTAGTTCTTTGAGGTATCTCCACACTGATTTCCACAGTGGTTGCACCAGTCTGCACTCCCACCGTTAATGGAACAGAGTTTCTCTTTCCCCACAGCCCCACCAGCGTTTGTTATTGGTTGATTTCTTGATAGCAGCCATTCTTTCTGGGGTGAGGTGGAATCTCAGTGTTGTTTTCATTTGCATCTCTCATATGGCCAGTGATGTTGAACATGTTTTCATATGTTTATTTACTATTTCTACTTCTTTATCTGAGAAATGTCTGTTCATTTCGGATGCCCATTTTTGAATTGGGTCTTTATATTTGGGGGAATCTGAGGTTTTAAAGTTCTCTGTGTATTCTAGATAAGTAGAGCTTTGTCTGAGGAACAGCTGGTCAATTTTTTCTCCCACATTGTGCATTGGTTCTTCATATATTGGTGTGTTTCTCTTGCTGTGCAGAAGCTTTTTAATAAGAAGAGATCCCAGTTGTTGATTCTTTGTGCTAGTTCCTGTGCAGTTGAGGTTTTTTGTTCATGAAATCTTTTCCTATGCCAGTGTCTTCAAGAGTTCTATTTAAGGGCCGGGGATTTAGCTTAGTGGTTTGGTGGCCTGCCTTGCAAGCGCAAGGACCCGAGTTCAATCCCCGGTACCAAAAAAAAAAAAAAAAAAAAAAAAGTTCTATCTAACCTCTCTTCCAGCTGGTTTAGTGTTTATGTTTTAATATTTAGATCTTTAATCCACTTTGATTTTAGCTTAGTGTATGGTGAGAGACATAGCTCTAGTTTTCATCTTTGGCAAGTTGAAACCCAGTTTTTCTGGCACCATTTATTAAAGAGGCTAACTTTCCTCCAGTGAGGGTGTTTGTTTGCTTTGTCGAAGATGAAGTGGCTGAGAATGTCTGGAGCTATTCCGCATCTTCTAATGGGTTGCACTGATCCTCGGTCTGTTTCTTTGCCAGTACCATGCTGATTTTATCACAGTGGCTTTGTAGTATAGCTTCAAGTTGGGGATTGTGATACTCCCTGCTTTATCTTTGTTCCTAGAATGGATTTTTGCTATTCTAGGTCTCTTCTTGTTCCCAATGAATTTTCTCAAGGTCTGTAAAGTATGCTGCTGGGATTTCAACAGGGATTGCATTGAATCTATACAGCAGTTTTGGAAGGTTAGCCACTGTCACAACAGCGGTTCTTCCTACCCAGGAGCAAGGGATGTCTTTCCATTTTCTGCTATCCTCTTTGGTCTCTTTTCTCAGAGTGCTGCAGTTTTCAGAGTAGAGGTCTTTGATTTCTTTTGTTAGGTTGATTCTTAGGTGTTTCATTCTTTAGATGTTATCATGAAGGGAGTTGTTTCCCCTGTTCTTCTCTTCAGTGAGTCTGTTGGTCGTGTAAAGGAGAGCTATTGATTTTTGTGTGTTGATCTTGTATCCAGCTACTCTACTGAATTTGGTTATCAAGTTTAGAAGACTTTTGGTGGAATTCTTGGGGTCCTGGAGTCTCTGTACTATATAGTGTATCATGTCATCTGCAGATAATAACAATTCAGGCCCGGTGTGGTGGCACATGCCTGTAATCCCAGCACTCGGGAGGCTGAGGCAGGAGGACCGCTATGAGTTCGAGACCAGCCTGGGCTACATAATGAGTTCCAGGTCAGTCTCAACTACATAGTGAGACTCTGTCTCAAAAAACAAAACAAAACAATTTAAAATTTTCCTTTCTTATCTTTATTCCTTTTATGTCATTCTCTTGTCTATGAGCTGTGGCTAGTGTTTCCAAAGCTATATTGAACAGGAGTGGCGATAGTGGACATCCTTGTCTTGTTCCTGATTTTAGTGTGAAGGATTTCAGTTTTGGATCATTTAGTATGATATTGGCTGTTGGTTTTTTACAGATGGCTTTTATCAGGTTGAGATAAAGACCGTCTATTCCATTTTTTAGTAGGGCTTTTATCATGAATTTGTGTTGGATTTTGTTGAATGCCTTTTCTGCATCTATTGAGATGATCATATGGTTTTTGTCCTTGGTTCTATTAAATTGTGTATTACATTTATTGATTTGCATATGTTGAACCATCCTTGCATCCCTGGGATAAATCCAACTTGGTCAGGGTGTATGATCTTGCTGATCTTCTGCATTCTGTTTGCCAGTATCTTAGAAGATTTTTGCATCTATGTTCCTGAGTGAGATTGGCTTATAGTTCTCTTTTTTTGGTTCGGTCTTTCTCTGCTTTTGGGATCCAAGGTGCTACTTCCAGGAATAAATTTGGAAGTATTGCTTCCTTTTCAATTTCATTGAAGAGTTTAAACAGTAGTTCCTCTCTAAATGTCTTGTAGAATTCAGCAGTGAAGCCATCAGGACCTGGACTTTTCTAAGTTGGTAGGTTTTTGATTACGTTTTCAATTTCATCGATTGATATTGGATTGTTTAGAATTTTTCCGTTGGCATTCAACTTTGGCAATTCAAGTGTATCTAGGAATCTGTCCATTTATTCTGTGTTTTCCATCTTCTTGGCATATAGGTTCTCAAAGTAGGAATTGATGATCCTCTGGATGTTTCTGGGTTCTTTGTAATTTCACCCTTTTTATTCCTAATTGCGTGGATTTGGGTCTTTTTTTAAATTTTTATTTATTTATTTATATTTGTTTTGTTTTTTGAGACAGGGTCTCACTGTGTAGTTGACACTGACCTGGAACTCACTATGTAGCCCATTCTGGTCTCGAACTCATAGCGATCCTCCTGTCTCAGCCTCCTGAGTGCTGGGATTACAGGCATGCACCACCATGCCTGGCCATTGGGTCTTTTTTTTTTTTTT